CACCTAAGGTGGCGGGTTCGAATCCCCAGCCCGGGCCTGCCAAACAACAATGATGGCTGCAACCAAAAAATGGCCGGGTGTCGTGGCGGGCGCCTGTAGTCCCAGCTACTTGGGAGGCAGAGGCAGGAGACTCGCTTGAGCCCAGGAGTTGGAGGTTGCTCTGAGCATGATGCCAGGGCACTCTACCCAGGGGGATAGCTTGAGGCTCCGTCTCAAAAAAAAAAAAAAAAAAGTTCATTTCTGGTTCGGCACTCAGAGCACAGTGTTTACAGTGCCAGCCACATACACCGAAGTTGGCAGGTTTGAACCTGGCCTGGGCCTGCCAAACAACAACAACTGCAACAACAACAAAAAAATAGTGGGGCTTTGTGGCAGGCACCTATAGTCCCAGCTACTTAATGTTTTTGAGTAGTCTATTCCTTAGGAAATCAACCACACCTCAAGGTGATCTCATGAGGCCTCTGAAAGCAAGTTATGCACGCAGAGGCAGATCTTGTGTAGTGACATGATTTGAGAGCTTTTGCTTTGAGACAGAGTCTCACTTTGTTGCTCTCAGTAGAGTGCCCTGGTGTCATAGCTCGCAGCAACCTCAAACTCTCAGGTTTGAGCAATCCCCTTGCCTTAGCCTCCCAAGTTGCTGGGACTACAAGCAACCACCACAATACCCAGCTATTTTTTTTTTTTTAAGACACAGATCATGTTCTTGCTCAGGCTGGTCTCTAACTTGGGAGCTCCAGTGTTCCCCTCGGCTCTGCCTCCCAGAGTGCTGGGATTACAGACATGAGCCACTGCCTGAGCTCTTTCCTTTTTCTTTATGGTGCTCTTCTTTATGAGTGTCTCTAGGTATTTCAGAGAAATAATACAGAAATAATACAGCTGTCCTTAACTGTAAGTTTTTATTCTATTAAATTCTAACGTAAGATGATTTACTCTTTAGCATCTCGGAGAATTTGGATTCTATAACTTGCAAATGGCATGTTAACTCCTGCAGAGGTAATTTGGAAAAAGAGGGAGCTAGGTATTAGGAATAGAGATGGGAAATAGTAGAGCAGAATTAGAGACAGCCCCTTGTAAGCATGTCTTAGGAGGAAAGATAAAAGCAAATGAAGGAAATGAAACCTTGGCCTTAGGACTGCATGTGGCTGACAGCAGCCAGGATGAGGTGAGGGCAGGAGCTTTGGAATGCCGTGACAAAGACAAAGGATTGAGGTGACAGAAGACTGGATATTGGAACAGGCTGAGACTTGGTGATGAGCTCTGGGAGCCAGGAGTTAACACAGCCATGTATTAACTTTGGAAAAGCACCCACTGTTAAGGGGGAAAAATGGTGAATTTTTTTTTTTTTTTTTGAGATAGAGTTTCACTTTGTCACCCTTCGTAGAGTGCTGTGACGTCCCAGCTCACAGCAACCTCCCACCCCTGGGCTTAGGCAATTCTCTTGCCTCAGCCTCCTGAGTAGCTGGGACTGCAGGTGCCTGCCACAATGCTCTGCTATTTTTTGTTGCAGTTTGACCTAGGCCGGGTTAAAACCTGCCACCCTCGGTATATGAGTCTGTCACCCTGCCCACTGAGCCACAGGTGCTGCCCCCCAAAAGGGTGAATTAAAACAGACACTTACACCAACAGTATAGAGGAAGTAACCTTTAATTGCCTGCGAGAACTCAGGGCATGAAATGCTGAGTTCTGAGGTCACTGGCTGGTTTCACAGGTGAGTGATGTATCCAGGCAGGAATGCCATCCACTTTCACTGCTGTTCGTGTGGACAGGATCACCCAGTCATGGCCTTTCCACCATGGTTTCTGTGGGCTCAGGCTTTAATCTTTTTTTTTTTTTTTTAGGAGACAGATTCTTTTAAGCTGTCACCCTGGGTAGAGTGACATGGTGTCACAACTCACAGTGTTATGGGGTGAGAAAAGACCACCAGACTAATAATCTTCAAAATGCCAACAAGGAGGCTTTATTTTGACTGACCAGCTGGCTGTCTCCACAAGTCTGAGAGATCAAGGGAGAACAGCCACAACCAGGGTTAATGCATAGCTTTTATAGATTGGAAGACACAGCAAGCCAGCCGCTGG